TCCCCACGTCAAAAGGGTTAAACCCTCCATCTCATCCCTGTATTTTTCTTCTTGTACCCTCTGTAGCCAGTATTTCAGGGATGGGGAAAATTATATGGAGATTTTCATCTACTTATAAATTTAAACACAAACCCTTTGTCACGCTAATCAGCTTGGGTAAGGAAGAATACCTATTCATTCAATGGCTAAGGAGGGACTACTGACTGGAGCGGGTGCTCACCAAATTTTTTGACAGGAGCAATATGTGCCTTTTGCCACCGAGCCAGTTAATTTTGTCCCCCCAGCCAACTTGGCCCTTTAAACCACGATAAAGCATTTCACAAATTTTTCATAAGTCAAGCCTCGAGACAAGAAGTCAGCCGGATTCCCGCACCAGGAATGTGATTAAAGGTTAACAAAATGCTGACCCAAACTGTTATATTTCTCCTAATTTGATTGATTTCAGCGACTCTGTTTTGCCATACACAATCTTACTTTTTACCTTTACGAACCCATTGTAAGGATACCTCTTATCAGCCCAAAATTTACGGTGTCGCTGATTTTTAAACTCTCGCAATTTTATTTCTTATATAATTGGCTAATTTGACACCTACATAAATGGCCGTTAATTCCAACTGAGGAAAGGGTTTACGTGATTTGTTTGGGAAAGCCACCTTAGCCTTAGACATAACAAGAGAAATGGCACTATTACATTGAAGGTAACGACTGCTCCATATGCAATTTCGAAGCATCGCAAAAATGTGGAGTACATTTTCTCCACCCTGGCTGGCCACATTCTTTGGGAACTCCAACTTTTGGGTAATTTTACATATTCACCTATTAGTTCCTTCCCACCTTTCAACAAATTCCTCAGGTAGGTTTCATCCCAAGCACACTTAAGCTTCCATGTTTTCTTGTATCAACAATTTTCCCCTTATGGTAAGTGGGGACCACTAAGCCTAGTGGGTCGAAGCATTTTGAAACTTCCGCAAGTAAGACTCTCTTTGGTTAATTTATTGGCATGCTGTAGTTAATTAGACTTTAACGATAACAAGTCTCCCCTCTGTGTCCCAAGTCAGTCCCCACACATTACTATATTTAGACACTTCAACTCCAGGTTGTCTTTTATTTAATTTTAGCCCTTAAACTGGACGAATTACTGTTCAAATTCCCTCAGGGGCATATTTTCAAACCCTTGCATTAAATTTTATTAGCCCTTCATATATGCTCATTAGTTCCTCTTCAGTAGACATCACCCCCAGAAATTGTCCAAAATAAAAATTGTTTTTACCCATTACTCCACTCAGTGGACCCCCCGTACGCTTAAAGGTGTGCATTTATCTTGCCTGGAGTAGGACGGACTGGAGGTAGCACCAAACAATACACTCCTGAACGAAAAATCTCAGGGGGCTAAGTGGGTCACTAGATTCTCGGGCCATAAGAACCTTGTGCAATCCCGGCAGGCCTCCTGCAGACCCACTCTCAGGAAAGCTTTACTTATGTCCCCGTAAAGGCATAATTCTTAACCCTGAAGTTTAAAATTGTCTCCCAGTTTTTTCCGTCAACGAGGACCTGTCATCAAACAGTCATTCAAACTAGGTACATTTTTGTTACTCTTGGCACTACAATTAAACACAATCCTCAGAGGAGTGGTCGGTTAGAATCCTTCTTCACTCCGTGATGTGGCAACATACATGTAGTGACCATAAATCTGGGCTTGCTCCGGGAGGTACCTCCTCTATGAATTTATTATTTAACTGCTCATTAATTATATCATCGTAAGCAGTCAAAGTTCTGGTGTCTTTGCTCAGTTCGTGAGCTGAGCCTTTAATTGTCCATACGCCATCCGGTAATATTTGGTAGGTCTGGATGGTTCAGCTTCCACGGAAGTCTCCCCCAGTAATGTCCCAACTCAAATTTTAACATCCATCTGTATTTTTCTTGAGTAAAGAATCATCTGGACTTTCTTCATTTACATTGATCCTATGCTGTCCCATTCCCATAATTTAAACACAGGTTCAACTTCATCCTATTGAAGTATATTATACTGGGGTGATATTTCATGGTAAGACACACCGTAACTGTATTTATGGATTCCTCCAGTCATTCATTATCAGTACGAGAAGCCTGCCCATACATCACGTGATCTCCTGCGGTTCTAAAAGGGGACTCCGCATTTCTTTGTCATACACTTTACAAAGGTGGCATAATGGTCAATACCAATAACAAAATATCTATTGGCCCAACAGGAATCATTTATTTGCACCAGAAGTGCCAAATTTACCTTACTTTGAAAGCCTTTCAGTAGCGTTAACCAAGCCTATTGTAAGACATTTTCTCTGGGAGCCTATCCACAATTATCGCATTAATACCGTTTTCCTCTCATTGCCCATCTACATTACATAAACAGTGTCTAGACTGGGCCATTCTTATTCGAGAAAAAGGCCAGATAACTTGAGTATAGCAGGATCTCCCATTTGGTACCTTCATCCTCATTAAGGCATTACATTTTATGAAGGTACGGTTGATCACCTGATCCCAGTAATGCCTGATTACAGTTTTGGATTT